CTGAATCATTGACAGAATGGTCTTCTCTCCCCACTGGCCCATTTCTCCTCCCAGGCACCTCTCTCCATTTCTACTTTCCTCTGCTTACAGCTTTCCAGGTGGTGCTAGTGGTAAAGAACCCACCTGCCAATGCAGGAGATGTAAGAGACGCAGGTTCAATCCCTGGGTGGGGAAGAACCCTTGAAGGAGGGCCTGGCAACCCACTCCAATATTCTCGCCTGGAGAATCCCACGGACAGACGAGACTGGTGGGCTACAGTCTACAGGGTCGCAAAGAGTCGGACACGACTGAGGTGACTTAGCATGCACGCATTACTTTTACAGACACAAAGCAGGTCAGCAAGCAATTGAAGAAGCAGATTTAAAGAGGCAGCCCAGCTTGAATCATCTTGCCAGTACCTTCTTCACTGGAGTAGTTTCCTGAACAAAGAACCCCAGAAGAAAAGTCTGCCTGGAGAGATTCTAAGGAGAAGTCAAGAGAGGTCAGCTGGAGGGGTTCACCCCACGTTAGGGAACTGAACAGTGGGTGGGTTCCCCCGAAAGAAGTCATATGTATACCTCATCACTGAGCCTGCATTTGGGCTTCTGCCACAATGAAGACACTGGTCATTAAGACCATGACACTACAAGGCCTGAGAACAGCTTTCATGTCTTTATTAATATTCTCTTTATTCTTCTTCCATCCTGGAGGGTGGTTGGGGCTCCAAGCAGACACTGGGAGTGAAAGGAAGAGGCCTAGGCCTGGATGGCACTGGCTGGGGTAGGAAAGATAAGATGACTTAACAGGATGTGATTTTAAAGCTTTACTGTGAATTAGAAAGACCTTATCATGGCTTCATAAATTTTGGAAATTGAATGGAAAGTAGTAATACCTTTCCAGAATGTTCTTAAAAGACGGAGAAGGGAGAATCAATAGAGTAGATTTGCCTGCTCTAGGAGATAAATGGTAAAGCTGTTTTATGTTTGTGATGCACCAATTTCAGGCTGTCCCAAATCTAGTGACATATTCGATGGGCCAGACTTCCTAATCAGACTAGAAGAAAGGATGAAGCTAATGACTAGAGTTCTGTTCCTTCATGCTTTTCCTGAATAATTTGAAAACTTCTTCCCATCATCCCATTGTACATTTTCAGAAATCTCATTTATTTCTTAGAAAGTAAATAATAATTATTTAAACAATCACTCAGCACTTCTGAGTACATTCTTAATTTTCCCCTATTTAAGTTTTCATGATCAAAAGTAAATGTACTGTTGATGAAGTGCTCTTCTAAAAGTGACCACTTGATTTCTGGGTCAGTATTTAGGGCTGAGATTTCAAAACAAGAAAAGATCAATCTGCTAAGACATGAGCAAGGACTGGTCAGAAAGGATGCTCTTTTGAGAGGTAGTTAATCTGTGGAGACGCCCACCTTTGCTTTCTATTGCTCTTTCATTGTTGGATCATGTCAAGGCTTGAGAGGTGTAGGAGGCTCAGGTCAACAGATATTTACCAACCAGCATTTAAGCATTTCATCATTTTCACAATGGAATGGTTGAATTGGTACATACCATCTAAAGATTAGCCCTGTCAAGATAAGTGAGCCTATAATTTACTTACTTCTGAAACCCCAGTAAGATACCCTAAACAATATCCCTGAAAGATAAAAATGAGATAGGGTCAAACAGATGGAAAACCCTAGGGACAGAAAATACAACCCACATTAAACACAGTCAAGTTTGTAAGAAAGGTAAGAGAAATATTCTTTCCACAGGACCTGGGAGAAATTCTTAATCCCAGAAAAAAAACAGTCAAAGAATGAGCACAAGAAAATAATAAAAATGATTCTAGAGAAAGTTTTCTCTGGGCTAAAGAATCTAAACTCCAAATGCAAATGCCTACCAACTACAAAGAAACAAAACAAAACAAAAAATACAGGCACTAAATATAAACAAGTATAAAGAGAAGCTCTTAAATGTTCCTAGGAACAGAGGCCAGAGAGAACTAGTTGATGAAAATGGAATAAATACCATACTGGGACCAAGTTCTCATCAGTACACTAGGTCCAAGAAGACAATGGAGTTATGTTTTTGAAGTTGCAAGATAATTTATTTTTGGAAACATAACTCTTGTGAAAATTAAAACTATAATTGAAATCCTATAAAAAAATTTTTAAGCTTTTTGGAATTGTTGTTGTTCAATTGCCAAGTCATGACCAACTCTTCATGACCCCAGGGACTACAGCACGCCAGAATTCTCTGTCCCTCATTATTTCCCAGAGTTTGCCCAAGTTCATGTCCAATGAATTGGTGATACCATCCAACCATCTCATCTTCTGTCACCCTCTTCTCCTTTTGCCTCAAATAAGAAGTAATATATAATGGATAATTATATATAATATACATTTCTATACTATAATATACAATATGGTGGCTCAGATGGTAAAGAAGCTACCTTCAATGCAGGAGACCCAGGTTCAATCCTTGGGTCAGGAATATCGCCTGGAGATGGAAACGGCTACCCACTCCTTTATTCTTGCCTGGAGAATTGCATGGGCAGAGAAGCCTGGTGGGTTACAGTCCTTGGGGTCGCAAAGAGTCAGACACAACTGAGCGACTAACATTTTCACTTTTCACAATATATTATAACAAATGTTTTATTATATTAAGTTATAATTCATATTACACATGATTATATAATAAATTTATAAATAAAATTTGTATTAGTGTAAAATAGAGCAAGAAATAGATGGTCATGGATCATCAGAACCAGGCAAGCCACATCTAAGTGAGTAGAGATGAGGCAATTCTTAGAAAGGAGACCTTGTGCTAAGACTAGGGTGAGGAGGGGATGAAGGTAGATTTGTTGGCTTCCCAGCAAGGCCCAGTCAAGCCAGACACCTGCTGGAGGGTGGCCAAGCCCACTTCTGTGAGTTCACGAGACTCTGGCTATCTTGCTCAAGTCACTTAAGTTGTGACCTGCATCTAGAAAGGGATGGTTCAAACCAAACTTCAGTCAACAGGTCCGATGAATAAACAAATTGTGCTCAATTCACACAGTGAAATGCTATTCCAATATCACAAAGAAAAAAAGACTAAAATACTGATTCATGCTTTGACATGGATTATTCTCCAAATTACTATGCAGAGTGAAATAATTCAGACAAAAATGAGTATATATAAGGTATAGCTGTATTTATATAAAATGCTAGAAGTACAAACTAGCATAGCATGACATAAAGTGGATCAGCGGCTGCCTGGGGATGGAGGAGGGTTGAGTGTGTAGGGTGGAGCAGGAAGGACATTGCAAAGGACATGAAGAAACTTTGAGGAGATATGAATGTTCAGTCTTGATCTTGGTGGTGATTTTATAGGTGTCTACAAATGTCAAAGCTTATCAAATTGTATAGTTTAAATATGTTCAATTTATAGTTCATTATGAAAAATATTAAATTATGAGCTACTCTATTAAAAAAATTTAAATATGGGGAGTTCCCTGGTGGTCCATTGGTTAGGATTCAATGTTTTCATTTCCATGGCCTGAGTTCAAAACCTGATGGGCTAACTGAGATTTCTGTAAGCCATGCGGTGCAGCCAAGAAAAATTTAAAATTACTTAATTAATTATTTTAAAGGGATGGTTCACAATAGATCATCTCAAAGTCACCTTCAGTTTTATTATTTTGTACATTTATCACAGTAGACTAACAACTGAATGGCCAAGAAACTGTGACCAGCTTGATTTTCACATCTGAAAAGCTGGTGAATGTTATACAAAGTGAATAGCTTAACTTATCCAATGTGAATTGCTTAAATTAATTCAGTTTCAAATCTGTGGGTCACACAAAATGTGTTTACCAGCCTCTCTGTCATCATTTATCTCCTTCATTTCACTTTTCTATTCTTTTGGGTGTTTTTTAATTTAGACATTTCATGTGAATCATTGAAAGCCCTTATAAATAATTTTGGTACATCTAATCACTATACTTTAATAAAATAAATGTTTAAAAAATAATATTTTGGTACAATGCAAAAGTGAACAAATATTAAATTAATTTAAGATAAAGTACAGTCATGAGTGACAGTCTTCAAACCCATGTTCTAAACATCTGTTAACTGGTAAAATTTCCGAACCAAAATGAAATTGTAGGAGTAGACTTAATCAGTATAAAGAAGCTTACTGAATAATCAAATACTGTTAATGACACCAATCACCTTTCCCATAGTAAATAATTAAATGGATGTTATAGTCACTCTTTCTCTCTGGGTTGATTTTACTGACTCTGAGATCATATTTCTGGACCACAAATCTGAACCCGTGACAGTGCGGAGTCACTACTTTGCCCTCCCTGAGCCAGGATGTCTCTGAGTATTCCCCAGCTGCATGTACATTTTAAAGGAAAAGTATTACAACCACAAAAATAAAAAGAGAATTAGTAACCAAGGTCTGAACTATTATAAAACAATAAAGGGAGGATTTAGAATAATAAAGACATAGTAGTTGTTTTTTTTTTTTCTATGCATTCTTTTCGGCTTCTCTGATAGCTCAGTTGGTAAAGAATCTGCAATGCAGGAGACCCCAGTTCAATTCCTGGGTAGGGAAGATCCACTGGAGAAGGGATAGGCTACCCACTTCAGTATTTTGACCTGTAGAGTTTGGGATGGCAAAGAGTCAGACACGACCAAACGACTTTCACTTTCTTTATATATTCTTTTAAATTTTCTCAAGAATGCTACAAAGGGGAGGTTATTAACTAGAGACATACAGTGATGTTCAGAGAGTGGAAGCAGCCCAAGATTGGTGTTAAATTGCCATGTTTCTGGCTCCAAGGTCATGCTGTTTCCATTACATACAGGGTTTTATGCTGTATACCAAAGGATGATGAAACTGAATTTAAGTGTTTGGGTCAAATTTGAAGCATAATTTATTTTACACTAGAAGACCTTAAACACATATGACTAAATTCTCTAGCCAGTATGTGTTCACTGTGAGTCTACTATCAATTCCTCCATCTAAAATGTAGACTTACCCAGAAAATAAATTTACTGTTGAGGAATTCTCTCGTAAGACTTTGCCTGTGACGATGAGTTTGATGGCTTTTCTAAACCAGGGATAAAAGAAAGCATCAATCAAGGGGTTCATAGCTGAGTTATAATAAGCAATCCAAACCAATATTTCATAGACACACGTGGGAGTGATGAAACCTAGGAAGGCGTCAGTGATGACATCCAGAAAGTAAGGCAGCCAGGAGATCAGAAACGCTAGCACTGCGACGCCCAGCGTTCTTGCAGCCTTTCTCTCCCTCCTGGCCACTCTGTCTTGGTAGCTGTCTGAGCATCGCCCAGTCTTATTGCTCAGACTCTCAATTTTTCTAGCCTGCTGTTTAGCAATGAGGAAAATCTTGGAGTAAAGGACTATCATCACAAGGGTGGGGATGAAAAATAAAAGGAAATTCACCAATACCCAACTCTGATTCACTGCAATTTGACAGCCTCCCACACAGGTGAGAGCACTTACTAGATCCTCCAGTCCAGCTGCATTTGCTCCTGTGCCAAGAAGAGAAAAAGAATAAGTAACGGGAAAGAGCCAGGAGAAGGCAATACACATGCCAGAAACAGACACAGTGAACCTGGCTGGATAGACCAGGGGGTCAGTGACCGCAATGTACCTGTCCAGAGAGATAAAGCACAAGTGGTAGATGGAAGTGCAACAGAATGAGCCTTCAAAACAAGAGTGGAGTTGACAGTAACGCTGCCCAAAGTACCAGCAGCTCTCCACGGACCTCACTGTGCTGAAGGGCATCACAGTCACTCCCACCAAAAGTCCGCACAGGCCAGAGAGGCGATCAAGAAGTTGGTAGGAGAATGCAGCTACTTGAAGTGGAGAATTGCAATCATCACCAGGAGATTTCCAAATACAGCCAGCACAGCTCCAAAGATGAATACGGTGTAGAGGATGAGGCAGGGACCCGGTGAGTAGGGGGTTTTCACACAGGATCCGTTCAGGTGCTCATAACAGAGCGGCACAGCCACAGCAGAAGGAGACGCGCTGCTCATGATTCTCTGATTTGACACCTGGAAACCTGTCACCCTCTGTGGCCCAGGATGTCATTCCTGATTTTGAAATGTCCTTAAAGAAAAGATAAATACAATGTCAGCAGTTGCCAGTGCATTCTGTCTTTGCTTCCTTGTAAGTGCAAATCTTTACTTACATGTTTAGAAGGTGATTCATATCCTCATCTTGTAAAATGATTCACCTCTAAATGTATAAGCAGTTAATTTTCATTGTTACGTAAAATGCTGTTTACTTAAATTTTTAAAAAACTTCCTGCATTACTTAGTTCTTCATCTCGGAGGAGAGTTTGTCTTCAAGAAGCTATTACATGAGGCATGTCCGAATGCCACATGTTATTAGCACTATTTCCCTAATTTATCAGAGCAATAATAATGCCCCAAACACTCTCTCCCCTCAGGAACATAGTTCCATAATTTCAATCCCCAAAGCTCTTAAGACTGAATCCCCACAAGTGCAAGGTGTTTAGAAAGAATTAAATAGCATTTTTATGTTTATGCTAAACTAAGTTTATGTCCTATAATTTCCCGATGTCATTTGACCTTTGCATGAAACATAACTACCTATCCTTTAACACCTTTGAGCAGAAATTGAAAGTCATATTATTTATTGTTATTAGTTATTGCCTTTTCATTTTTATTAGAATCATTTGTTTACAATTTCTGTGTTGAATGTCACTAGAACTCTTTCAAATAAGTCCTTTCTCTCTTCCAGTGTCAGTTTGTGTTAAAGAAAAAAATTACATAGAATCATATATTAAACAGTTGAATGCTTCAGGTTTAACTTTAATAATTCAGATTTGGAAAAGTGGAGGAGTAGTGGGCAAAGTCTTTGCCTCATGAAACAACCAAGGAAGTGCAAGTACAAATAAAACATTGTTCCTGCTGATGTTTTTCTTGTTGTAATGGGAACGGTGTGGAAGATACTTAAAAAAATAAATTGCTGAAAGAACTTTTGGAGTGTGAGCATTCCTATATTATACTCCAGATTTTACCACAGACACATTTCCATTTCTCCTTAGTATTCTAGAATAGATGAGCTGATGTTTCAAAAAAATGTTTTCTGATGAGTGACTGTGTGGTGTGCTCAGCGCTCAGTCATGTTCAGCTCTTTGCGATCCAATGGACTGGAGTCTACCAGGCTCCTCGGTCCATGACATTTCACAGGCAACAATACTGGAGCAGATTGCTATCTCCTATTCCAGGGGATTTTCCCAACCCAGGGATCAAACCCATGTCTCTTGCCTATCCTGCATTGACAGGCAGATTCTTTTCCACTGTGTCACCTGGGGAGCCCTCAATTACTTCTACTTATGTTGAAAAATCAGCTTTTTAATATTGAGGCACAAAATAAATTTGAAAAGTTTACATTTTTAGTATGTACAGACTGACGACATGATAAATGTATCCACTCTTGTATTCACCACCACAACCAAGGAAGGAAGCAACAGCCTGTATGTCTCCTCAGGCCCTTTTATACTTAATCTAACCCCACATTTCCCTTCTCCTATCCTGGGGAACCACTGGTCTCCCTTCTGTGGCCAGGGATTAATTTCTGTGGCCTAAAAACCTTGTGTCAAAGGGTCACAGTTTGTCTTCTTCTGTGTCTGGCTTATTTTATTCAGCTCAGCGTCTGTGAGTTTCACCCATGTCTGAGAACATGTGCAGCTCATTCCTCTTATTGCTAAATGGAATTCCATTGTCTGAATTCAATTGCCTTCCAGTTATTTTATCCATATACGAGTTGATAAATATTTAGACTGTTCATCTTGGGGCTGTCATATTGGGAAGTGTATGTTTAACTCCGTAAGGAAGTACACATTTTCTAGGGTAGTTGGACCATTTTATGCTCTCACGAGCAAGCTATGAGTGTTTCAGTTTGCGCCAAATCATTGTTTCCTCCGGGTGGACTGCCTATCACCTTACAGGATTTTTTACTAAATTAGAGCTTATCCATTATACTTTATGTTACTTCTCTATGTGAGAGGCCAACATGTGGACAAGTAATGACAACTCAATGTGGTGACGGATCTGACACAGACAGTGTAGTGGGGGTCACCGCAATGAAGCAAGGGAACTGTATCCACAGGTAATTTTACCAAGAAGGTAACTTTATTTTATTTTTTTTTAAGAAGGTAACTTTAAATATAGGTCGAGAGGATCGAGGAGATATGTAAGGTAAAAACAAACAGGGCTTTCCCAGGCAGAGAGGTGTGTGTTGAGGCTGGGAGATGGCGTCTGGATGCATCCGCAGGGCTGAAAGCATCCGCAGGGCTGAAAGCATCCGCAGGGCTGAGAGCATCCGCAGGGCTGAGAGAGCATCCGCAGGGCTGAGAGAGCATCCGCAGGGCTGAGAGAGCATCCGCAGGGCTGAGAGAGCATCCGCAGGGCTGAGAGAGCATCCGCAGGGCTGAGAGAGCATCCGCAGGGCTGAGAGCATCCGCAGGGCTGAGAGCGGCAGTAGCGCAGGCGCAGTGTGGGGGCGGCGAGCGCTCCAGGAGCCCTGCGCACAACCTGACCTCACCTCCTCGTTTCCACGAGCTGTTTGGATTTCTGCAGAGGTCAGAAGGCAGGAGGGGCGAGGACATGTCACCCGTGGTGACAGATACAAATCTTCACTCCACCTGCTCAGGGATGCTAGATAGGATTTATTTTTCTGCAATACTTTTAAATCTACCTAGAGCCTCACATTGCACCAGGTACAAGAAAAAAATCTCAATAAATATAGGGGTCTGCCCCTTTATCCCCAGAGTGGCATCCGTGTTCAGAGAGCTCCGTCTCACAGTATCTGTGGGTGTTCTTTGAGGTCTGTCTACTGAGGAATGCATTTTCCTACCTCTAAGGAGCTGACTTGGCAGCATCTTTGCCTTCCCTGAGGGGTAGGGCTCCTTCCAGCCACGCTGGGAGGTTATGTCGTCTCTCAAAAGCATGTGCATCTATTCAACACATCTACTGTGCGTGTTTATCACTTTTCAAAAATGACCTAAAGAGTAGAAATAAAGCACAAGTGGAACGTAGAAACATAATTCTTGGTAGCTTCCATCGGTTTTGAGTACAGCACATAATTAATATAGAGAAGAAGAGTCGGAGCATTAAAGATACATTGAAAGAAACCATTAAAAATACTTTAAAAATATTAAGATATAAATCCTGAGATACTTAAATCTCTTTAAGATGCAGTTTCTAAAACATACCAATGCACCTACAATTTAGTTTCATTAGGTAATACAAAAATATACCAAAGATATATGCTCAAATGTTAGTCCACCAAAATAAAACAAGCAATCATACAGATAAAACTAACTTCAATGCTTAGATAAAAATAGAGATGTGCATTGTTAACATCAATTTTAATATATTTATTTTATCACAAACATTAACATTTTAAAGATAAATTGCAAAGTAAATCCCCCCATACACAGACACTATTATACACAAAGGTATATTTTGTAAAAGTGTAATATGGGGGCTTATTATACGTTGCTTTATAATTTAGGTCAGATTTTTTGCTTTTGTTTTCTTTTGATTTTAGTCAAAAAAGTATATTGAGATTTTCTTTCCTTGTCAGTTGCTGTTTTTAACGTTCACTTGTGCCTTTTAATGGTTTTATAACATCTCATTTCAAAGGTAGAGCATAGTTTATTCAATTTATACCATATGAATCCTAGTTTATTGTAATTAATAATTGAGAGATATACAATGAATGTCCTTGTCACATTTCCTTTGCCTGACTCTCTTCATATGCTTGCTTGCCAGAAACAGAACTACAGAGCCATGTGATACGTGTGATTTGAAATTTTACATAAATATCTTAATTCCCCTCTAAGAGAAAAATGCTAAATTATGTTTTCCCTAGTTGTTTATGAAAGCACTCAACTTTCAGCAGAGTACTCAACTTCTCACACTCTAATCTGATATTAATGATCTAATGTCAAATATGAGATACAAAACTATAATATTTTAATTAATTTTAAAATTATGTGTACATTTGACATTTTAATCTATTTATTAACCATACCTCTGTAAAATTTCCTGTTTCTGTTTAGTGGGATATTCAACTCCATCTTAATGTTTTGTAAATTTTTTTTATATTTTTGAATCTACTAATGCTTCATCCTGTTTGCTGCCAATAGCTTTTCCAAGTTTGTTTGTTTTTCTTTAACGTGCCTTTCTTTCACTTTGAAGTTGAAAAATTTAAATTTTGTGCATGAATCTATATGGATATTCTGTCATGATTCCACCAATAAATTATAAAAATATATTTTCTTCTAGTTTTTTAATATCTGGAATAAATCAGTTTTGATTTTGTAAAATACATGAAGCAAGATCGTTAAGTTTTTCAAAAAGTTTTATACCAAATTAACATCTCTAAATTATCCATTTTTCAATAACATAAATAATAGTGTTATTTTTATCATGAATAGCTATAAACTCCAAATAGTACTTATAGGGGGAAAAATAAA